TGATTGTTATTTAAATTGTTGAAAAGTACAATTATAATAATGAAAAGGTAGAAATAAACATTTACCATTGAAAAGCAATACATTATTCAAATGAATGAGATCATTAAGATGAGATATCTGGAAATTTAATTTCTCAATTACTTTCTCTCAATCTTAATCATTACTATCATCATATCTTCACTCCTTTTCATCATCATCATCATCATAAACATCATCTATGGGCTTGGTCATCCAGGTATCTCAAGCTCATGGTGGTTTCTATTAGGTAAGAAACCACCGGGTGGATTATGTTTCCCTCCTTTTTTTTTGAAAAATGAACAAAAAAATATATGAAACCTTAAATACTCATTGTATCAAAGCTTAAAATGATTTGTATTTGTTTAATTGTCCAAGAAACGCCCTGTAAACAGGGAGGCTAATAGTTAACCATCAACCACTGACCATCATCATCATGATAAGAATCAAGGGAATCAGTTCCGTATGAAAACTTTACCTGTATCATAATCATCATCAAGATGGATACATAATTACAAGACTAATCATTTGTTTTACAAGGTCAACATTTATGCAGATTATTAAGATTAAGATGATGAAGATGATGAAGATCATAATGATACTTGCTATGAGTCTAGGCCAATATTAACATTTTTTCATGTCAAGATGATGATAATCTTAAGTTATCATCATTAAAGACAAAAGGTTAACAAGTTTCCAAATACAAATGAAACATAAAACGGTTTCAACAATAGGAGATACAAGTAAATGTAAACAATAAGAAAACAGGTTAATGTTGAGGTGACGTTTGGGTGGAGTAGGACAGGTAACCACGTACAAGGTAAGACCATTGAGTGAGAGAAAGGAGGAGATTGATAAAGTATTTGGTATAATAAGAATCAAGATAAATTAAGATGATAAGATAGAAGACAAAAGTTGTTGAAATTAAAATGTTCATTGAGAAGGTCAATGTTAACTTGTGTTACGCGTTCAAGAAAACACGTACAAGAAGGAGGATGATAATTATGATGATGATGACGATGAAAAAAAAGTTATAATTTCAAATTGAAAAAAAATAAGTGACCAATTTAAATGAATGTATGTGACCTTGCATTGATTTAATGTCCACTCAACCTTATCGTCCACCCTCTTGTCCACCTACTTTAAGCATCTTACTCTCAATAGTTTTTCTCCACCCCCTCTTACACTATTGAATGGATGATGATGATGAAGAGAAAAACCTTCATAGAGAAACAACTTCGATATAATCTAAAGATTTATCCATCCGGATCGATCTATGGTTACTCCCACTTCTTAAGACGGAAGCAGGTTAGACGAAAGAGAGAGAGAGAGAGAGAGAGAGAGAGAGAGAGAGAGAAAAGTCTAAGATGATGAGGATGCTAGATGATTTTAGTTTTTTTCTTTCATCTTTTCTCTGTAATTTTCACTTTCACTTTGAGGTCAGTATTTTTTCACTTGTTATAATGTCTAATTGTTGATATGTGTCAACATGAAATTGGATCAACTGTCAACAATCAGAAAGTTAATTGTAACTTTTGATTATAATCATTGTGATATTATCAATGATTTGAGTGTGTTGATTCAATGACAACAGTCAATTTAATGAAAAAAAAAGTTAGTCTCAAATCCTGTGAACTTGATCATAATTAATTGTTACTTTTCAACTAATTGCTAGGATAACAATCAAACAGTTTGACAATATTCAATTATATTTACAACCATTGGTGAAAATAATCAAAAATATATTGATTGTTATCACCTGATATTATTGTATTTATATCTCAATTAACACCATCAGAATTAATTTTTTTTGCACAAAAGTTAAACTAATCAACTAAACATTTATTGATCAACTAAATTGATCAGTTTTTAATTGTGATTAGTTGTGGTTTGTTTACCAAACCAGAACAAAAAATGTTAATTAAAAGTTAACTAATTAGTTTGAAAAAAAAACATGAATGTTAATCAACATGTTAAATTGTTTTATTAACATATTCATAAAGATTTAGATTTGTTTACATTGAAATGATCAAAATTGAATATAATTATAATTGTAATTGCTAATTGAAATTATCAATGAATTGATTAACATCTAATGATAAATTACTGAGAATGAAAAATATTATCGATGTTCAATAGTAAATCAGTTAATTGTTGATTATCTTATAAGTAATTCAATGTTCAATCAAAAGTGCAATCAAGATAAATTTTAAAATCTTAATCATGATGATTAACCTTGATTCGGGTTAAAGGTAATCCAAGTTTTAGTTGGATTATAATTGAATAGATATTATAACCTTCCCAATTCACTCTCATTGGAAATTAGTTGAACAATTTGATTGATTGTTAATGATGGATTTACAGTCTAAATGATAGTACAAGATAAAATATAGAAACTAAATCAAGATAATCTAAATCACAATCAACAATTACAATTACAATTACAATTACAATTGCACTTTACCAAGGTAAAAAAGTGCAATTCATATTGATGATGATTAATCCCGCCAACCAAAATGGCGGGTAACAAAATAATCTGTATGAAAACAATTAAAGATTGCTAATCAATTCAGAAATAATCAAGACTAAACAATTGTAAAGTTAATTGTGAATTGAGTAAACTGTTGAGAAAACAGAATCAAAGCTGATTAACTAACCAAAGAGGATAAAAAAAACAGAAACTAAGGAGTTAATTATAAAGGATAATAAAAATAATGACGTTTTATTTTAACGATAATATTATGAATGAGTAAGTGAGAAACTAATTAAAGGATAATAATTAGCTGATAATGATTAAAGAGAGTTGATTGTCCCAAACGAGAAACGGACAAAAGTGACCTTGTTTTTGAGAAAACGACAAGATTTTACTTTGATCATCTTTCAAAGGCAAACCACTGGCTCTTCATAAATAAAACATGGGCCTAGGACTTAAATAGAAAGGAGAAGATGAAAAAAGTAAGAGAAGATAAAATCGCGAGAAAGAAAGAGAAAGAAAGAAAGAAAGAAAGAGAGAGAGAGAGAGAGAGAGAGAGAGAGAGAGAGAGAGAGAGAGAAACATCTTATATGAAACTTAAAACTTTCTTAAGAAACTTTTTTCCATCTGCTCTTTTCATCCTCATCTTTCATCCCTTATCATCCTAAGGTAATAACAAAGGACTTTACAACCATCGGTAATCAAGCGATGACGATTGACCATTGATTCTAGTCAATGGTCATTTTTCAAACCGATGGTCAGTCAATAGTAATGAAAATAAGTCTGCCAACTTTTTTATAAAGTAAAGAAATCATCAAAATGATTAAATTATCGTAAATAATAAAAAGTTGATTACAATTACAGAGGAATCAATTTAATTAATGTGATTAACCTGATTGTTAATTAGCGGTAGTAGTCAGTGCGTGACACTGGAAACAAAAAGTGATCATAATATGTAATCAACAACAAAATGAAATATGAAACTTGAAAGGAAACACGAAAAAAAAACTGTTATCCATTTTCACGTGAAAAAATACGTGCTTATTATTAGAATGCGTTTTTTGTTGCTGTTCTAATATTAAATAGTAGTAACAATTTACTCTCACCTATTTTTAAATTGTTGTATATAAGCTAAATACGTTTGGATGTTTGATAATAGTGGAACTTTTTTGTTGATAGAAATTGGAGAAAACAAAAATCAAGACAAAAAAACGGAAAAAGGTGTTGATTGTTTTGGATTGTTGTTAACTTTTTTTTTCATATTTGATTGTTGATCATAAATGTTTACAATTAAATTAATTTGTTATGGAAATGAAGATGAAAGGGAAGGTGGGGAGGTAGGAGATGATGGTGATGATGATGGAGGTGGGAAATGGTTGTAATATGAATGTTTTGTTATGACTTTTTTTCTGAAAAGGTGAAAATTTTTCTAACTGAATCTTTCAACCATGGAGATGAAAATAACATTCACTGAATATGATGATGATGATGATAAGGTTAGATGATTAAATAACATGATAAGTATTCATTACCATTGGGTTAAAACAATTAGATGAATGTTAATTAACCACAAAATTTGACAGTGTAAAGTGATATTGTTATGATTAGTGTTTCAATTGTTTCAGGTTTTAGGTGTAAATAGATAGTTAATCATGAACATCATGCATGTTAACATGAATTAATTAAGCGATTTACATTTGAACAGATGAATTTGATTACTATTAATAATAAAATTATCTTGATTGTGAATCATACAAAAAGAAAACAAAACAAAATTGAGAAAAATAGAATTCAAATCAATTCATTCATTTTTGTTGTTCGTTTGAATGGTGAACATTATGAGTACTTAATGAATATTGATAGTTAATAATAACTAAATTGTTACTAGAATATTTGAAATTGTAATTATGATTAAAGTTATTCAGGATACAAAATTAGATTCTTAATCATTACCTTCAAGGATGTAAGGGCAACGTGTTGCTATCAACATATTACTTTTCTCAACGAAATATTGACCACTGGTCATTTCTCTCATATTTATAAGATTATCACCGAATAATGTTTCTTATGATTAAACTTAAATGTACAATTCATTTAATGATTACAATTAAAATCTAAAAAAAATACGATTTAAAATGCTAAATGAAATGAGAAAAATTTTCCCGGTCTTATAACCAAGTGATTACCTGTTGATATTTACTTATTAGATTTGATGTTGACTCAATCCTAATCAAAGTTAATTGTAATCAAAATGAGCAACAAATTAATGAGAATCATACAATTAATAGTTAACAATAACGATCAATTTGATTTGTTGAATATAAGATACAATGTAAATCCAGTTAACACAATAGAGATGAAGAAAATTGAAGAATCACCAAAACCATTAAAGAAATCAACGATACCAGGAGGATTGAATTAAAGTATTTTCAAGTAATTAAACATAATCCAAGATTCACAAATTGTTAACAATCAAGGAAATTAAGGTAACTAATCAACAATTAATTCTTACCTGAACAGCACTATTGAGAAAACAATTATTTTGACCTGGCATATTAAGTAATCCTTTGGCAGTGGCCATTGTTATTTGGCTTGTTTTTGTTTATTCTCTCTCTGGTAATGGAATAACAAATCAACCAGTGTTAATTAAATTCTCTTAGTAAAATCACAGAGACACACAATCATTTGATTTCTTAATTGAGAACAATTAATAACAACATGAAGAAGAATTTAAGTCCATAATTGTGAATTGGAAAACAAGTTGAAAAAAATATTCTCTTGAACTAAGAAGTTAAGACTTCACAACTTCAACTAAAAGAAATCAGGTTAACACAAAAGAAAACAAGAAGTAGAAAAACAACTTTACTCTTATAAAGAAAAGAAAACAACAGTAACTCCATCTGGTGTTTCGAATTCAAACTATTAGTTGTTCGCCTCAAAATCAATTCGATCGGCGCTTTTGACGATTTTTGGACATTCGAATATTTCGAATATTTTGATTATGTAATTTGTTTGGTTAATTGTAAATAAATTGGTGGAATTTTGTTTCGTTTAATTGTTGCTGGTTCGTTTTTCATTGCAATTACTCAATTGTTTTAATCGTTGGTTTGGTTAATACAATAAGTTGGTTGTTTCAAATGATGACAATTAGATGGAAAGACTAAATTAACCAATTGCTTTTGTATTTAATTATTAAATCACTTGGGGGAAAAGTAAAGTTAATGATTTAGGAAAAGCTCGATAATGTTATTGATTAAAAATTGTAAACAAACAAAAAAGTTTAAACGTCTAAAAATTAATAAAGTAAATTAAGAAATGATTTGTTTCCAATTGATTACAATTGTAAAACTAAATCAAATTATTAATCGGTTAATCAATAACACGTTAAGCTAATATAAAGCAGAATAATACAAAAGCATCTGATTAGGATTGTCGGTTGAATGTCAAAAGTAATTAAGTAATTAAAGGTAATGATTAAATTTCTGTCTTGATTGTATGAGGAAAACTAATTGTAATTAAATCAATTCCAATTCTAAAGTTGATTTTCTCTCTAAATTGTGATTGCTTGATGTTTATGATGAGAAAAGGGCAAATGTAATGATATTTTCTTTCGTAGTTGATTGATTGAATTTGAGATCCATTTGGGTTGAAGGTTCGATTAGTTTAATTGTTACGACAAAATCCACGAATTAAATCCGACACACACACGGAGCTTTTTTAGCCTCAATATACGAAGTTCCGTCAAGGGACAAACAATCAGCGTCGAGACCTTGATTACCAGAAGATCGAACCTTCGATAAAATCTAAGTAATAATAAACAGAGAACGAAATTGAAAAAAGTTAATAACTTGCGAGAAATCAACTCATCATCAATTAATTGATGATTGGAAATTAATTACCTCTGAAATTAAGAGCGATGATGTTTCCTCGATGTTAATATTATCCTTGGCACTCGTAAAGTACCAACCATTGAAACCGTTCATTTGACAGAATTCATCTAGATAACTTGGATTATTAAATTTCTCATGTTTGGTTAGATCACATTTGTTAGCGACCAGAACAGCGGGAATCGGCGATCCATCGGCCATGGTCACCTTTGAATCTAAATCCTCTTTCCATTTCTTGACCGCATCAAATGATTGCAATTTAGAGGCATCGAAACAAATTAAGGCACCGACAGCGTCTTTATAATAGACTCGAGTCATGGAACCGAATCTCTCTTGACCGGCGATGTCCCATAACTGTAACCTAATTAAAGTGTTCGGATCCCATTGGATGACCTTTAATGCGAAATCAACTCCGATCTAATGTTGAAAAGTCAATTAATGTAATTAGAATGACAATTTACTCAATTTCACTTAATTTTCTGGGGAGAAAAATAAACTTACCGTTGCTCTATAGTGACTGTTGAATAGATGATGAACATATCGACGGATGAAGCTTGTTTTACCGGTTGCTAGATCACCGATAACCAGAATTTTGAAAAGATATTCCTTTGATTCAGTTTCCAAATTCTGGTTGATTAAGAAAGAGAAAAAGAAAGCAACAAATTAAATGAAATTGAAGAGAGAAATCAACAAGAAGCTTATTAGAGAGATTGGATTACAATGGGAAAACTTTCAATTCTCATGGATTTTGATAATTGCAGTTAATTTGCTCCTTAAATTTGTAACAAAATCAACTGACAAACAATTAACTATCCTCTATGTTGTAATAATCAGTTGATTAAGAAAAAGAAGGCGAAAAAAAATCTAATCAATCAATAGCAATTGAGACGGAAAATTAAATTACATGAATTTCCTCATTTGTCTGAGCGGTAAAATAATCAAAGTAATACAAGTGAATGAAAAACGTTCAATTGAATTAACTTAACAATTAACGTGTAAATTGGTAAGTCCAATTGTCTCCAAACAATTAGCTAATCATTGGAAAGAGACACTGCCCTTTAAAGGTTGCAAGGTTAAATTGGATAAATTGTAATGATCGCAATTAAGACTTACCTGAGATGAACTACTAGAATGGCTCTTTGTCATAATTAAGCTTGTTAACAGTTAATTAAGGTGATGATTAAATAATTACAGTGAAGCACACAAATTGAAAGTAAATTAATTGAAAATTGTTGTTGGAATGAGAAAGTAAAAAGTACAATTAAGTGACAATCTATTTATGATGGTGATGATTAGAGTAACAGTTAAATCATTTCAAAATTAACGTCGATGCTTATTGGTTATTGGACCGGATTGTTGGAAACAAATGACAATTAAGGGTGGAAAAGGTTAATCACAATTATTAGAGGTATCGATAATTGTTTCTAATTGTTGGTAATCTAATTAAGAGCTGAGATTAAGATTAGAAGATGTGTTAAACCACCAAGTTCATCGGTCTCGGTGCGTCAAGATGAGAACTAGAAGAAGATTAAATATAAAAACAAGAGAAAAGAGATTCGGGTAAGAAAAAGAAAGAGATGATTTCTGGGTGTTTCTTTTTTCTCTCTGTCTTTCTCTGTCTATTTGTCGGTAGAAAGAGGAAGATGATAAAATGAAGAAGAAGATGATGAAATAAGTAAGAGATAATATAAAGAAGAAGAAGAAGACAGAAAGAGGAAAGAAAGAGAAAATGAGAGAAGGTCATTTTCTGTTTCGGAGACTAGATTAAGTTCCCAAGTTGTTAAGCAAGTTTATTGTTTTCTACTACTACGAACACAACTTGTTTAGTCTGTTAGGTACAGTCGAACCCAAAATTTTTATACTTTCAGGTTCAGTTTTCAGCCTAATCAACTTGAGGGAATTTCATTTAGAATCAGAATCAATTAATATTATTCGCTAAATCATGTCAACCTGTTGATTGTGATAATGGATTTGGTACAAAGTTTTCTTTCCAATTTTATTTCAGCATATGCAATATTATTGAGATTCAATTTTAAATTACAGTTTGTTTTGTGCATAATTAAATAATATATTACATGGAGTGTGTTGTAAATAGTTGATTAATGAGAAGGTGAAGGAGTAAGGGAGAGATATACAGCCACGAAAAATGAGATGAGAACAAAAATTGTATCAATCGCGCATAGAGAGATAACTTTTTTTTTTCTTCTAATTGTGATTACATTTGTTCATTACTTTCTATCTAAATCAATTCAATCTTGATTAAATTCTCTTTCTTTCTCTCGCTCTATACTCTCTATGCGTATAAGATATAATTTTTGTTCTCATCTAATTTTCCGTGGCTTCATTTGCTTTTCTTAGGTTTTAGAACATTAAACAAAAGTTGCCACTCCGGTGGGAGATTGGACTTGTGAGGTGGTTGATTTAGCTCCATATTGTCCGATAAAAGATCCTTCTTCTTCAAACTTGGAACTTTCGTCTTCACCGAAATCAGTCATTGAATCGGTGTCTTCGGCTTCGTTAAATTTACTATTGAGTGAAGCTCGACTAACTAAGTGGGCATTAGACCTATTGAATAAACAGTAAGAAATAGATGATAATAATATTAGTAAATATAAATAATGGTGGAAATGGTGATGATTCCTTACGGTTTTGAATATTCACTGAAGCCTTCATGGTCACCATAATCTAATTCACGACCTTTTTTGGCTTCTTTTTCATGGACAGAGTATTTTGCTCCACGATTACGCTTAACGATACATACGACGATGGTCAATACAATGACCAAAGCAATTGCACATAACATACCAATAAGCCAATCAACATCACTTAGACGGTTGTCATAGCTGCTGTTGAAACCCACTTGAAAGATGATGATAATCATGAGATGATGGAGAAAAAAAATAACAAATTAAGAGGGAAATGAGAGAGAAAAGAAAAAATAGAAGATTAGTTTATCTGTGTGTGCTAAATAGTATTTACTTGATAACATGTCAAATTATGTCATGTTATTTATAAATATTTGTTTTCGTTAGATAGATAATCTTTGTTTACAAATCTTTCATTTTCTTTTGCTATAATTTCTACAATTTATCTTACATGGTACTTCATCTGAAAGTGAAATTGGTTTCACTCGACTTGGTGTTTGATGTTCACCATCAACGGAAACAACGCGAACTTCATAATTATAATTTGGATCTAATCCTTCCAGGTAAATATACTCTTTGTCAACTTCTTTGGGAGTACTTTTATAAGTTGCTTCACCTGAATAGAGAGAGAGAGAAAAAATTAAAGGTAAACAAAAACAAGTTGAGGTTAATTGCGAAAGAAAGAGAAAGAGAGTATAAAGTAATCGTAAATTACTTTTTAAAAACAAAATGAGCAATAATCTAATAAAAATGGTAGAGTAAAAAAAAACGATCATTATATCATAATCATGCAACGAGAAAATAGATCATATAACATCAATCATCGCTAATAAGTTATGGATATTGATATGATAGTCAGCTTTTAATTTTGCTTTTACAACTACAATCAACTACTTATAATACGATGATATAAAATTCAACAACTCAATCAATCCATGTGCTTTCTATCCCACACAAACACAGCAATAAACGAGAAATAGAGAGAGGGAGAGAGTTTTCTTTTTCAAGAGAACCCACCAGGGGGAGACCGGAACCTTTTAAGGCGCACACCTCGCCCCGTGTCTGCTATTAATAGGTCGGGCCATTATGACTTTAGAGGGAGATACGGATTTAAGGGGTAGTTACAAAGGCCTAGTCCCACGACAGAGGTTTCTCTTTGCCCAGTGCAGGATAAAAGCATTGGTAAACACTGCTGTCAGAGGAACGTGGAGCCAGAAAGTTAGCAAGACCAATGTTATCATTGGTCTTGCCCCCGGTGCTAACAACTGGACTACAGCAGATAGAGAGTGAGAGAGAGAGAGAGAGAGACAGACGGACAGACATCTTATATGAAACTTTAAACTTTCTTAAGAAACTTTTTCCATCTGCTCTATTCATCCTCATCCTCATCTTTCATCCCTTATCATCTTAAGGTAATAACAAAGCATTTTAAAACCATCGGTAAGCGACGACGATTGACCATTGATTCTAGTCAATGGTCATTTTAAAACAGATGGTAAGTCAATAGTATTGAACATAAGTCTGCCAACCACTTCCGATAAAGTAAAGGAATAATAAAAAGTTGATTACAATACCAGAGGAATCAATTTAATCAATGTGATTAACCTGATTGTTAATTAGCGGTAGTAGTCAGTGCGTGACACTGGAAACAAAAAGTGATCATAATATGTAATCAACAATAAAATGAACTATGAAACCTGAAAGGAAACATTAAAAAAAAGAGAAAAAGGGAGAGAGAAAGAGAGAAAGAGAACTGAAAACAATGTACATAACCTACTAAAGGTTTGACATATTGTTTTAAGATCTTTTTAGTCATCATTACATTGAGAGAGAAATAGTGACTATCAGGATGTTTTCTGAAGAGGAAAAAAAGAATTAGAGGTTCAGCGATAGAGAAAGAGAGTGGGATAAAAAGAGGAGGGAGAGAGAGAGAGAAAGAGACAGGAAAGAGAGATAAAGACAAGAGAAAAAAGTTGCTTGCATCAGCAACCTAATCTTTTGCCCTCTTCTCATCTCATCTCATCTCTCTCTCTCTCTTTTTCTATTATTTTTTTCTTTTCCAACTTCACGATTCTTAGTTTATAATTATTCTACTTTTTTTCAGCTTCTTCTTACCTTCTCTACGGTATTGTACATAGAAAGAACTTCCAGGTTTTCCAGAGCGTAAAGGAGGGACCCAAATAACACGGACGGCGGTCCCATCTTTCTCTTCTAACCTGTAATCAAAATCAGGTTCATCGGGAATGGTTGAACTTTCATTACCAGTGGTACTTTTCTCAATATAATATTCTTCACCTTCACCGCCATTAGTGAAAGCTTTAATGCTTATACGATACTTTGTTGCTGGCTTGAGACCTGCAAGCTTATATTTGAGGTACATTAAATTGGTTATTGGATCTCGGGAAATGATATCACCCAATTCTGTGCCAATTACTTCTCGGTAAGAGATTTTATATCCCTTGAGTTCACCGTTAAGCTCTTCCGGTTGATTCCAAAGAAGATAGAGAGCACTTTTTCCCATAGGAATAGCATCGAAATTGGTTACTGGTCCTGGTGGTCCTTCTTCCGTTTTAATTGATATTATATCGGAACCTGGACCATTGTACATGGTGTTATAAGCCATAACTTGAGCTTTATTAAGAGTATTTGGTTTGAGAATGTTTATTTTGGTTCGAGTGATATTGGAACGCATTTTAACTTCTCTCATCTTTTCGAGACCATCACGATCATTCCAAATAATTATCTTATATCCTTCAAATCGGCCATTAATACTATCTTCCGGTACACTGTCCCAGGCAAATTCAGCAGTTTGCCAATCATAGGTTCGGAGAAGGTGAAAATTTTCTGGTCTTTTGGACGGTTTAGCTTCTCCAGAGTAACCAATTGTTTCCGGTGCAACTGTGTGAGCCTGTCCTCTTGAATTGTGTGCCTCCACTTTTATCCGGTATGGTTTATATGTAGGAGTATTGGAAATTTTTAAACGATCTTGTCTCCAGTCAGTGATAACTTTATTTTCCCACTGCGCCATTGGCAGGTCATCACGTTTCCACCAGACTTTATAATAAAATCCAGGGCATTATGTTCAATCTGTTCCATTCGAGTCCATGAAATTATCATGTTATCTGGAGCATCTCCCCAACCTTTCATGTTCCTTGGGTTATTATAAGGTATATCCTCATCGGTGGTACACATTTCTGAATGTTTAGAGGCAATACTTTTACCTATTTTGTTAACCGCAATCACACGGAAAGTGTAATTAGCCCAAGGAGAAATAGAAACTTGGAAAATTGTATCAGGAGCTGGAACATGACTATAATGATCGTCCCAAACGTTTGGAGTGAAACTTGTATTATATTGGATTATATATTGAAGAATTTGAGCTCTATTGTCTCCGGTTGCTTTCCATTCAATTCTGGCAGTTGATTTATCGCATTTAATTGAAACAATTTGAGGTGCATTGGGTACATCAGGAACAGTGAGAGTAGCTTTGGCAGAGACTGAGTCTAATATGGTTTTAGCTGTACATGTGTATTCACCTGAATCCAATTCTCGAGTCTTTAAAATACTCAATGAATTATCAGCTGCTTTAACCATACGTTGATTTTGTTCAAAGTCAATATCACGACCAGCAAATGACCAAACAATTTGAAGATCAAGAGAGGAATCGGCACGAGCGGTACAACGTAAAACTGCTACTTTACCAGCAGCAACTTCAATATCTTCAGGTGGACTAATTATTTCAGTTTTTGATTTAACTTCCAATGTACCTTCAGCCTTTGCTTCACCAAGTTTATTAACCGCATGGCAAACATATTTACCAACATAATCATACTTGAGATCTTTAATTTTAAGGTCACCTTCGTCTAAAATTTCATAATCACCACCAGTAAGTTCAACTCCATCACGTAACCATCGTACCTCTGGTTTGGGTGCACCAAATACCCGACATCGTAGGATAGCTGTTTGAGTGGCAACCGCTTTTGTAACTTCAGCGGGTTTTTCAATAATTCTTGGAGGAAGTGCCAACACATTGAGATAGAAATTTTTAAAAGCATATCCATGAACATTTGAAGCATTACACTGGAAAACAGCAGTATCTGTTTTAATCAAATTGTCGATAGTTAAAGTGGTACCTTTCAATTTTCTTCGATTATTGGGTGGAGCCTCATCTAAAGGTTTACCATTAACCAACCATTGTAACTTTGGATCAGGTATACCACTTGATTCACAGGTAAATGTGACAGTTTCACCTTCAGCTGCAACAGTATTGTTTGGAACTTTCTTCCAATAAGGAGCAGCTAATACCTGTACTCGAGTTGAATGAGTCATTACTTGACCAACACCGTTAGAAGCTGTACAAACGTAAGTATCTTCATCTTCAAAGTCAACTTTTGATATTTGAAGTGTTTTACCATGATTAATGTAATTATAATGATTACCAGCTATTGGTGAGCCTCTTTTACGCCAAATAATATCAGGTAAAGGTGTTCCCCCGTAAATACAATGTAACTCTAGATTGGCTCCTCTTAAAGCTGAAACACTAGGCGGTGAAGTATATTGAAGTTCGGGATGATGGCTTGAAAGACCTGAGCTACCTGAAGGGGTAACCCTAAGGTAAACTTTACGGCCAAATTTATATTCACTACGAAAATGAGATGTTGCACTACAGGTATAGGCACCATTGTCATGAAGTTGATCGTCTTGTGTTACATTGGAAAAGTGTAACTTACCATCGGGATCAACAGTTAAACGTGAACTATTAATTGTATATAAAGCACCGGTTCTTGATTGAACCATCCAATAGATGGTTGGTTTAGGATAACCTGTGGGTGGATTACAGTCAATTGTAAGAGGGGCACCTTCCATTACATTAAGAACCTCTGGATCTGTTTCCGGAAACGAGGCTAATTCAGATTTACGAAGGAAAACAGCATTCGAAACAGCGGTACCATGAATATTTTCCGCAAAACATTGATATAAACCTTCATCTAAACTATCAGGTTGAGAGAATGTAAGAGAACCTCGTTTAGATGTTTGAGAAATTCTTTTATCATATGCAACTGGATCAAATTTAACTCCATTTTTAACCCAACTATATTTAGGCTCAGGATTACCGGTAGCCTCACATTCAAGGGCAAATGGTTTAACAGCTTCATCTGCAGGTGAAGCCACCTGGAAAAGCTGTTGGTGTTTGGGTTGTTTGGTAATGGATGGAGGTTCCGTAGACAGTGAATGGGTAACACAAATAGTAACAGTCAATATTATCAAAATCCATGAAATTATGGCACGGGTCAGGGTAGAAGAAATCATTTTCAAATATAAATATAAATATAACTACAAAGTCTATTTGTGTGTCAATGTAATTAGAAGGTAACAAAATAGAGAAGAAGAAAAAAAAATCATATATAAAATAAGCTTTTAACGCACATCGGATGTTGTTTCTTGTTTTTGTGAAAGAAGAAAAAAAGAATTAAGAACAAATTTCGAGATGAATCACCAACACAGAGAGAACAACATTACACCAATAATTACATTGAGAAGATTATGATTCACTTTGATTAAACAACACACAATTAGAAGAAAATTAAGTTGAGTGTTAATTGTGACAGAGAACAAAATTCAACAAGGAAAAAAGCTGATTAGTTAGATAAAGTGAAGAAACAAACTGAACAAAAAACTCCACCCAAAGAACATCAAGAAGTAACAATGACTAATAAAAGTGAAAATTTCAAAAAGAAAAGAAAAACACCTTAAGGCTCTGCCATCTGACGAGTAAATGGAAAACTATTTACCTGGAAATTTTTTATTCTTTTCTTGTTTTAAACTCTTTACGATTGTGTCTCCATCTGTTGGTTGCAATCTTTTTTTTTCTCTGGTAAAATTTGATCTAATTTGTTAATCAGTTGTTTCATCTTAATCACAATTAATTCTTGTTGATAATTAATTGTCCTTCTTTTGGTTAATTAGCTGTGGAAAATTAATCCTAGTTAATTATCTTAATTTGATTGATTTTCTTTCTTTCTGTTGTTTTCTTTTCTTGATTTGGATTTGTTGATATTTTGTTTTCTTTCCCTTTGATTAATTTAATTTGATTAATCATCTTGATCTCATTTAATTGTTCACATATTTTTTGTCTATTTGTTTAATTGTATGACTTATTTCATCTCTTTATTAGCCTTGATTTAATCATGATTACGTTTTGTTTATCTTATTCAGTCTTTATATGATTAATAATCAATCTCAGTGAAAACAACAGTTAATTTGTTACATATTATAATCAACTGCTGAGTGATTTATACTTAATTGTTGATAATCATCAGTGTAATATACACTCATAGACTTGATCTATAATATTAACTGTAAATGCGTTGATAGGTTAATCATTTCCTGTTTGATGAGAGTTTATTATGGTCGCCATCTTGGAAAATATTAACAATTTCAATTGTTTCTAATTGCCTTGTTTGGATAACAATACAATGTTATTTGTTAATTGTTGTATCGTGTTAATTGTTTGATTTTCCTGCTCCATCAACGACCTTAATAGTTACAAGTTAACTCTAATTGTTTGTGTTGACAGTTAACCCAAAAATCACATTGTAAGTAAATCAACATAATCAAACTAATCATGACATAAGCATAAAAAAAATTTAGTTAATTACAATTAGGAAAAACAATAATCATCATTGTTTCAAATGATCAAATCAATTTTCATTTTATCATCAACAATTAACCAAAACTGAATAATAATATTAATCTTGACAATTTAATCAGTTGGATCAATGGATTGATCTTAGATTTGTTATTAATTAAGATATTTAATCATTTAATGAAGAAATCTAATCCCGTTTGATTTATTTCAAGTTTCAGATTATCAATTAATTAATTAATTGTGAGGAGAAAATTTTTTTCATCAAAATAAATAAATATCAACAATTCAATAATATTATATATTTTATCATATCATTAATACATGTTTGATAATGTTATGGATTAATTATTTATATTTACATTGTTTTCTTGATTGGAACAATTAATAATAGTTTCAATTAATTATAATTAATAATCAATAACATTTTGTTTGTCGTAATTTAAACAAGCGAAGCGCAAAAAAATTGGAAGAAAAAACAATTTTTCATTCAACTAGTGCATTGTTTTTGTATTTGAAGATGTCAAGGTGAAGATGAGGATGAGGATGACAAAGTGAGAGAGAGAGAGAGATGATGATGATGATGATGATGACCGTTGAATTGATGTCAAATTAATGATGAGAAACGATGGTTATTAAAACAAAATCATTTTTATCTGAATGATGTTCAATCCTTGACAATTTTAGTTGATCATGAAAGTGAAGATGACAATAAACATGATGAAGATAAAGATGATGATGATGATGGAGATGATGAAGATGAAGATGAAGGTAATGATCACTTTTTCCCAATCAAATAGTAGGTCATCAATTTACCTTTTCCTTTAACAGAAACTAAGCCTCGTTGTTCAAATATGAATCCAAATTCTTGTAATATTTTGGCAGTTTCTTCAACAACCTGACAAAATATAAACGAAAGACAATTAAAAATCAAACTTAATCTTCATCAATGATTAGTTAATTGTTCAATTCTTACCTGGATACAACCAGCTTTACCTGTGCTCTCCATACGACTAGCGACATTGACAGTGTTACCCCACATATCAAAGTGAGGTTTTCGTGCTCCAATTACCCCGGCAGTTATTGGTCCTTGATTAATACCTAAATTGTAACAATTAAATGATAAAAACAATGGTTAATATCCATAAATAGAATGATAAAAAAATAATTGTTAATTGTGACAATTGTTTCAAATTGTCAACAAGACAAAATCAAATTATCTTCCCTTTTTTTTACAATAGTTAGTTGATTATTTGTTTTATTGTTCATCGTCGTTTTTAATTGTCATTGATTATTTATTTTCATTTCAATTATTTAATTAATGTTGATGAAACAATTTAATCAATGTTATTTTAAACTACAATTACATCCTGTCTTTAAATTTCATTAATTATCATTGGGATGTTGATTGTTGATCATATCTTTGGTTTTTTTTGTGTTGATTATTAAACATTTGCAAATAATCAAATTAAATTAAACAGGAAGGTGTAATAATATACCCAAACTTAATTACTTTGATTATTGTTAATTATTGGTAATAAAAATAGTCTAACTTTTACATTTATGGATAAACACAATCAACTAAATTAAAGTTATCACAAATTTCAATAGTCAAAAGCAATTGACTAATTAACTTATATTAACAAATCAACGAGTACAAAATCAAAGCAATTGAGTTGATTATATTGACCAGATTAAATGATATTAATCAACAATCACCAATTAGAAATGATAAACAATTAATCAACTAATATGACTGGAATTTAGCACATTTGCTGAATGAAAACATTGGAACAATTAGTTAATTGTTGGAATTGATTCTTACCCATTCTAAGAACAAAATTATTAAAACTTTCTCTATTTATATTATTAAGTGTTTCCTTAAGTGTTAGAGCAAAATCAGTTAGAGTTGCTAAATGCTGCCAATTTTTGGCCTCATCTCGTTCCTCTTCATTTAAACCCGACGCGGCCATGTAAGTGGCCCCGATGGTCTTTATTTTAATTATATCACGAAAACGATCTTGTTCAAGTAGAGCATCGTAATCAGAGATGACCTCGTTAAGAAAACGAAGACATTCTAACCCTTGATTGTTGACCGATTCTTCTGTATAAAAATCGGAAAAATTGGGCATCGCCGCGAAAAGTACTCCGACCGATTCGTAAGATTTTGAGTAAAGTTCTTCATCTCGTTTCCGTCGACCCAAAAAGTGAATGGCCACATGAGGGGGAAGAATATTATAAACTAGAGCTTCGTTTTTTTGTCTCATATCTTCAACTTTTTTCTTCTGCTCATCAACCTCTTTTTGCCATAGGAAAAGACGACGAGCCATTGAATCACAATTACGATTAATCAAGTAAAGTGCAATTGCAACAATTAACGTAACTATTGATAAGGTTGATGATTGACTGAGCCATGATGAAGATGATGGTGATGAAGGTGTTGTTGCTGTTGTTGATGCTGATGATCCTGAAGACGATTGAATCAGTAAATTACTAGATAAGGTTGAAGTTATTGCTGGTGATAAGTTGGATGGTTCATTAGGTTTAATTGTTGTTAAGGATGAGGATGCTATGATTTTAGGTGTATCTTCAAAATGATGATACAATAGGGAATAATTAAAGGCTATCTGAAGGGCTCCAAGGGTCAGTATTAAGGTCATTTTGAAAACATGAGATATCCTTTGGAGTGAACTGATTGCAAGCATACCAAGGATTGCAAAGAATACTAAATAATGGGGAATACAATGTGATTTAAGTGATAAAGATGATTCGGTGGGAGGAATATTTATTTCCGCCGGAAGATCAGAGATTGAGGATGGAAAAGATGATGAAGAAGATGATAATGATTCTGGATCATCCATGATGATAATGTTCTTGTCACCATTACGATAATCAGTATAACAACTTATCTGTTGAAATGGAAGAAAAAAAAAAAAGAAAATCAAGATAAGGTGTGAGAAATTATATATAGAAATTAACAAGAAAAAGGAGGAGGAAACGGAAAAGATGAAGATAATGAGGATGAGGATGAGGATGAAGATCTCAAGATTATAACCTTTCATTGTGTTAATGTTATCAAAAGGTTATCTTTAATTTGGGAAAGATTTAATTAGAATTAACTAAAATTAAGAAGCCAGAAAACTTGGAACAGAATTAATAATAAGATTAATTAGATTGTGATGTAAGATAATTAATTGTTTTATATATTTAAATGATCAGTATTATGATAATGATGATGATTTATTATAATAATTAAATCACTTAAACTCTTAGAAACTGATTAACCAGAGTTTCAATTCATTAATCAAAATTATCATTAAAGTGAGAATGGTAAACTTTGTTTCCCTTTTAATTGTGTGGTTGTTGTATGAATTAAAGTGATGATAATTATGGTTGATTGAATGGTAATCATTGAAATGAGTAAGAAATTGACAAATGATTGACAATTAATCATAAATTAGCTCTAAATTGTTACATAGATGAGTTAATTTTTACTTTTCCACAATTCAATCATCTTAAATACTAAACTTGTTGACATTTTCCAACCCATTTCAACCCTTGAGTATACTACAATTAACCCAACAATTAACAAGGAATCGTAATACTTATTGATTGATTAAATGGTGTAAATTGTGAATATTAATTGACTCTAAATGATTGAGAAAAAAAAATTGGCAAAAATTTACTATTGACACAATTACATTGTGTGTATATCTCTTGTTATGAATGATTCAGTTGAAGCCAAGTTAAAGGAGGAAAGGAAAAAAAATATAAGAACTCAACCCACTGAACTTTTCATGAAATTCATGAGATGACATAAGTCAAAAATATAACAACAATAAGAATATAAAACAATTGAAAAAAATATAATGAAATCTTTTTAAAAGTAATCAATCAATCTGATTCTTGGGCGATAAATATATTCCAGGGTAACACTGGAATACATGGGAAAGCGGGAAAAAGACGATTTATTTCAGAATTCATTATGGAAAATAAATTATTACATGAAAAGAGAGAGAGAAAGATTCTATTAGGATGAGAAAACTGTCTAATAACAGTAATCATAAGGTTCCTTCAAAATGTTCACAATGGTGAGAATACAGATAACCAGGGTAAATGGAAACTGAATCGTCTGAATAATTCATTTATCGATTTCAAAGGAACATATGAAGAAAGAAACGTTTCAATATTTTCTCATCTTATCGTCTCTCTCTCACGCCATGGAAACTTCATCCTGGAGATGATCCAAAAGATTCATCATCTACCTTGAGTGATGATACTCATGGAATAAGATTCTAAAAGGTTTGACACATATTCATGAATATAACCTTGAATATGTATATGAAATTCAGACAGAATCTTTGACAATTTAATTTACTTGGAAACAAATTAGTCAACTAATTAACCAGGAGAGAGAGAGAGAGAGAAAAGTTTCCTCATAAGAAATTAGCTAATCAGATGAAAATTAAAATGGGAAAACAATTCAACAGTTCAGGGTTTCATGGAAATTATAACGATTATTATCATAAACAATTCTGGTAATTTTGTAATCGTTATGTTTTCTCATCGTTTTAATAAGAGAGGAAAAATTCAATTCAATCATGATGAATATTATCATTACTTATTAATATCAAATGCCTACTGAATAATAAGTAATATAATACACACACACACACTGAGTTTTATAACAGGGAGTTCATTTGTTATTCAGAGTATTGAGAATGGAGAAAAAGAGAAGATGATGAAGATAAAGATGAGACTAAGAGAATACCCACTTTTGGAATTACTTTTATCTTCCATTCTCAGGGTAAGAATCAACTACTTGAGAATCACAATGTTCAAGTCAAAGTCAAGTATTAATACAACGATAAAAATAACAATAACTTTGGAGAGAGAGAGAGAGAAAAAAGTTGAGAAAGATTCAGAATTTATCTGTTAACAGAATCGCAGGGAAAATAATATCATCATTTCCTCGATATATCCTCTTTTATTCTGTATGATAATAATGGTTAACTTTGGAATAGCATGATAAGAATTCAAGAAAATTACCTTACCAGAACTTTTTTGTTTCCTCGATTTTTGTTTTAGTTTTTCTTTTCATTTTCTTTCTTCTTGTTCATGATAAAAATAGCACATCTCAGGGAATGAACAGTGAACAGAAAAAATTGTTTCAGACTCACATTTTTCTACTGTTCAGTTTCCATAGACATGATGATGATCGTCATCATCATGATGCTTCTGTAAACGTTATTTAATCTGTTCTGGATTCTGAGTTTCATTAAGTTCAGTTTACTATTTTTTTTACTCTCTCTCTCAGTTCTTTGTGTGTGTTTATTTGGATTAGGAAACTTTTTTGTTCAGTTTCCACTTTTCAGCTTCAGATTAAGTTTCATCTTCTTTTTGAAACTTTCATGTGCTTAGATTGTGATTATCATGTAAATTGATTATCATTTGGAATATAAAACAATCAATTCTGATAATGGTAATGCTTTTCAATTCTGTTTACAGTTTGATTACTTTCCATTGATTAGTAAGTTTTAAATTTGTATTCCAATTGGTTAGTTGATCATTTTAATAGTCATGTAAAGAGGTTAATTTAGTTTGAAACAATTTGCTCGCAATTAAATTGACTAATTTGATTTTTTTTTTGAAACCAACAAATGATTTAGCAAACAAACTTGTAGATAAATTTCAATTTCAATTATTGTTATTATACATTAGATTGTCAGTTAATTGTTTACAATCAGGGAAAACACTTTACAGACAAATTGATTCACCACAACAATCAATTTATTATCCTAAACTGATTTAATTGTGAGTTAATAACAATTTAATCGTAAAGAAGATTGTCAAAATTAAATATCAAAAGAAACTCATTAAACTTATCGAGTTAATGGTAAACATTACAAAAGTTGATCAAAATTGTTAACAATTAATTTTATCGTTGCAATTAAAAGTTGGAAATTTTGAAATAAACAATTAAGATTAATTCTGTTAATCATTAAATTCAACTTTTATATCTTGTTCATGGTTCTCAGACTTCATTATAATGGACTAACAATCAATTATTTTTTTTTCTTTCTGCTCATCATTAAATTATTATTTCCATTGGAAAATATTATCAACTGGTCAACTGGTCAAGAGTCTCTTGTTATTAAATATTGACCTAGAAAAAGCAATATAATAAAAAAAATACTCCAAGACACAAATAATAATACGTTTGATAATAATTGTATAATGGTCTCTATTATTATCATTGTCCAGTGTGTTGGTCAGTACTCGGAACTTTTTTTCAAGGAATTTCATTCTTCCCTGTCTCTCTCTCTCTCTCTCTCTCTCTCTCTCTCTCTCTCTCTCTCTCTCTCTATGTCCATTTTATTATTGTAACTGGACAATGGGTCAAAGGGAAATAAAGATAATTGGATTTTTATAATACTTCATCTTTGTCCAAAGGTAAATGTTAATAAAAAGGTTGATATGATTATTGAATTTCCAGGTTATTTCATTGTTACCATGATATTGATTGAATTGTTTATAGAAATTGAATATAATTAGTGGTGATAAACTAATCTTATATATGGTTACAAGGGAAGGAAAATAAATTGTCATAATCATATTGATCGTAATAATATTGATTATAATCAATGATTAAACCATCAAAACATATAAACACAAATACTACAAGATAACATTTGATTGATGAAAAAAAGGGACAAAATTGATATAAGAACCATTTGAATATGATTTGCTTTTAATAAACATCAATGAAATCAAAGTGATTTATATGAATGATGGTTAATCAATGATTAAGTTGATTGTGGGAAGGAACAAGAATAATAATAATAACAATCGGTTGACTTACATTGGCAATGATATGAGCAACTATCCAAACAATTATCATGGATGAGGCGATTACCAAACGAATCCATGATTTGGCTTGAACAGATTTAGATAAAGCTAATAGAGGCTTCGGACATGATTTGCATATAATTGTTGACATGGAAGCGATTGAGGTTAAAGCTAATATGGTCACCGAAAGAGCATAAACCAGGAAAAGGGTTAATGTTGTTGGACCAATTAAAAGGTAACTCATGAAGGAACAGGCAAGTGTACAAGGCAATGAGACAAGTGATATGCTTCCGGTTATTTCACGGGTATTGAGAAATTGTGACTCATAGGCTGGATTACGAAAGGTAAGGCTTATTGGATAACTGTGATCAGATAAATTGTGAGCATTGTCTCGGTTTAAAAGTTCATGGCGAAGGCGAGCATTATATTCAGCGACATTTTTTATCTCCCCACCAGAGCCAATTATACATTCTCGAAGTTGATTACCCTCTTCGATATCGTTTCCACCTCCTCCTCCTCCGATCGTTTTATGAGATAGATTATCACCTTTAAGTTTCACCATTGATGGTGATTGATTTGCATCCAAAGTACCTTCAGGATACTGTTAACAGAGAAACGAATCATTTTCAATTGATTAATTTTTAAAATATTGACTTTCATATATATGATTAATTGATTGTTATGTATGATAATAAATCTCATGTAATATTGTCAAAAGGTGTATTAGTCTCAGTGGGAATTGGTTAAGGTTTTGGTTTAAATGAAAAAAGATTATCATGATTATCAATTCAGGGGAGGAAAACAAATGAATTTATTATCAGCTGAATTGATTTGGAAAATGATGATGAAAATAAAACATTCAAGTTAAAGCCTTTGGAAATTGTATTCAATGAATGTTATATATCTCTATTGATGATCAATCAATATGAGTGATAAAATTGTTACTCATTGATTATCGTGATAATATAAATGAGTATTTGTTAGAGTATATTTATCAAGGTTAAAAATGTTTGTTCTGAATTCTGAAAGCGGAAACGAAAGGAGGAAGTTTTCACTTCCTTGGAAATCTAAAGCTCTGAGAAGATGAAATAAAAAGATATCAAAAGAGATAAAGTTGATTTTCTCAATGAATTTCCAAATACACACCATTCATGGTTTAACGAATCAGATTCAATATCAAAATCGTTGGAATAAAATTCTGACCCAGATTTCTCTTATTATCAACTAGTATGTCTGAGGAAAGGAAAAGGAGAAAAACAAAATTCTTCATGATCCACCCATGGATAACAACTGAATATTATCATGATTGTTATCATGGAATCGACTTGATAAGCTAAAAATTTTTTCATCAATTTAGATCTTAAAATAAGCAAAAATAATCTGAATAAACATGGATCATGAATATTTGCTAAAAAACAAAGTAAAGAAAGAGAGAGAAATGAATTCTCAAACTGAATTAAGATTCTGAACATGGGGATTCAACCCAGATTCATGATGATATTACATGTATTTACTATCATTGGGCATTTACTCAGTATTCAAGTAAATCTTGATGAGTAACCAGAATTTTTTGGTTTATATTATTGTTAAGAGAAACATTATCATTAAAAATTTACTATGAATACACAGTAATTAAGCTAATTGTTGTTTTCCCTTAATGACAGTGTAATCAGTCTTGTAAACCATTGACTGCGTGGATTCAGTTAATTGTTGGTAATTAACTAATCTGGTTTAACTGATTAACAACAGTAAGTTTTGTTTTTCTTTCCAGGTTTATACTTGATATTTGAATGTTTATTGTAACAAGAATTAATTGGATGAGATTTGCTTCTGGAAAAGTAAATTAACTGATTGAATTGAGTATCTCTCTCTCTCTCTCTCTCTCTCTCTCTCTAATGGTAATACATATAATTAACTTACTGGTTTAATTACTCTTACGATAAAATATGTTGATATATTGGCCAGTCTAATGGCCTCTTCTCTAGAGGCTCCATCTCCGTTGGAGATTTCAAATTCACCGTTGAGAAAGGATAAAGTCCGCTCGGAGATATGAACTCGACCCGGAAGTCCACCTGATTCCATCTTGTTGGCCAGTTCAACATCTCGTGAGTAAACATCAAATTGCCACTGTTTTTGACCTAGAACACCGGCTAGAACTCCACCGGTGTGAATTCCCACTCTCATATCAACGGAAGATTTTGTCTCCTCTCGAACTGATTTAATTGCCTCGACCATTGATAGTCCCATGTGAACGCAGAGTACAGCATGGTCAGGCCGTTGTTCTGGTGCACCAGATATACAATAATAACAATCACCTAAAATTTTAATTCTCAACTGATGATATTTATCTGATAACTTATCAAATCGAGCAAAAAGTTCATTCAAAGTTTTAACCAATTCGGCAGCGGAACATGTTGAACTTATCGCCGTAAATCCGACGATATCTGCAAACAGAATTGAAACATTTTCATGACGTGACATGTAAATCTTTTTAAATTGACCAGTGACCATTGATCCAAGATCTTGACGTATCTCAGCGGCAACGTGTTTGGGTAACACGGAAAGTAAAAGTCTCTCCTGTTCAGCTGATTCCTCTTCGAGGACAAGTTTAACCTCCAACGATTGACAAGTCTCAAGAAATGCTCGACGTTGTTGACGCTCATAGAAAAAGAAAGACATTAAACCCAATAAATTAATGCCAACAATCAACATTATATTAGCTCCAATCTAAATAGTAAAGAGAAAAGTAAAATTAGATCAACAATCAAGAAAAATGAGTGTGGGTGTGGTAAATTTACAATTCAGACTTGGAAAGTTTCATGGGGAAGAGAGAGAGAGAGAGAGGAAAATGAATCCACCTTGATATAAGTTCTGGATAATGTGTCAAAGTATTAACATGATAAAATATCATCAACATGATAATCTTCATATTCTGATGCTATTAATATCCTAAATGTTACGTTCAGTCCTGTCCCTATCATCATCATCATCCATGATGATAAAATTAATGAGGATCCATAATATTCAGTCCATGATAATGTTTTCAAATTTGGTGCAAGAATTTTTTTCTCATTTTCATGCATAATGATTACGATGATGATGATGATGATGATGATGATGATGATACATAATGATTATAATTATAATAATATGTTCATATGATGATAATTTCTAGCTGATCATCATTTGATGATCCAAGATGAAAACGATGATAATTACGATTGAACTTAGCATTTAATTTACATTTCGTGTGTTATTGTCTCTGATTAACTAACAATAACTGTTAATTAACTGTAAATAATTTTTTTCTCACATAGAAATCATAATCTAATTGAAGTAATTAATTTTAACTCCAAATGTGTGTATGTGTGTCTCTCATTTATTGTCAACAATTTACAAAATCTCAATTCAACTAATCATTTTGATAATTATAATCATCTCATCATAATAATGTGATTTATTTTTAATCTATTGCGATTAAAAAATGATTATAATCAAAATTCAATTTGATTGCGAATTTTTTTTTTCTCATCAAAAGTTAATTCTAACTAATTATCTAATGATATAAGCAGCAATTTTTTTTCTTCTACTAATTTGATTATCTTAATTGAATTAATTAATCAAAATATCAGATTTTCATCCTCTAATTATTATGAAACAATCAACAAGCTTAGACACACACACACAAAAGACTTGAATTCACCCAATCAACTAATCAACATTTTTCACAATAAAAAAATTGTGCAATTAAAACAGAAAGTAAACAATTAATTAATCATTAAATCATCTCAACTTATATTTAAAGTGATTAATGATCATAAAAACCTAAGAAAAGTATCAACTCATTAAGTGTAACATAAACGTAAACAAATTAAATTGGTGAAAAGAGTTAGTTGTAAGCCAACAATCAAATGGTAAATTAAATTTCTCTGCTAACAATCAAACAATTTAGCTAAAAGGCCAACAATCAATCAAAAAAATTATCACAAATAATGAAAGAAAAACAAAAAAACTGAATCAATAATATCAATCATAAAGTTGGTAACCCTTGATGTCAAAGCTCAACAAAATTGATCATCAAAATCTGATTGTTTTGTTGGTTAACAATAAATCACTGATATGATGATAATAAAAACAGAATCAAGGTGTATGAAGATGATGATGAAGATGATGATGATGCTGATGATGAAAATGATGGTTAACTGATTTAATATTATTTTATGTTTTGTCTACTCATTGTTGAAAAAAAAGGATACGATTGGTTTACTATTTAATCTGATTATACACATTGAACTTTTTTCAATGTGAATCACGTCAAATATGTTTAACCGTATTAGCATTATAATGATGAAAAGTTCAGTGAAATGTTCAGAGTGAGGAGATAGATGGAGGTGAAAGGGTGAGCATGTAGCAGGAAAAAGGCTCAATTCAAAAGTATTAGTATATTATTATTATTATCGTTACTATTATTATCAGGATTTTTCCATCTTCTTCTCAGACAACAATGAAGAAAAAAGTTCAGAGGCTTTCAAGTTACATGGTAGAGAATAAAGTTTTTCCTTCATTCAAACTCTTATGAGGTAATCGTATTGATTTGTTAATGTATTGAATTGTTGGATGATGATGATTATTATTATTGCAATGGGCTTTTCAAGGTAAATATAATTCAGTAATACAGAAAATGGTTGTGCTTAGTTATATGTTTAGTTTTTGTTTGTTAGAGAGAGAGAAAAAAATCAATGTGAATTACGCTTGATGATGACTGATCATCATCATCATCACATCTGATACGTGGTTTGATATTTTGATTGAGTTAAGACATCATCATGATAACGGTAACAACAATAACAAGGTAACAAAAGTAAACTTTTCCTCCCCCTATTTCATTATTTCTATTGTTTTCTGTATCTTTCCCTTATGATTAGTCTCAAGGTTAGTGGAAAGGTCATAATATAAAGGTGAATATGAGAATTGGTATCAATAAGTAATCGCTAAGTTCAGTTGTTTGTTCCCATGTTGTTGTCAACGATAGACACTGGAGGACTTATAGAGAGAGAGAGTGAGATGGTGATGAAGATAAGATCAAGAGAGGAAAAGGAACCAAAGAGTAGAGAGATGAAGATGATGGAGATAAAGAACAGGAAATATAAGCAAGATCGATGAACTATTTTGGTTCAATAGTTGTCTCTATATATAACTACCATGTAACTGTGTATGTGTGTCTATTGATCGATGTAACAAAAACATTGCAAGTAAAAGTCTATGGGAAAAAAGGTAACAAACACGCAAGGGAATCAATGGATAGAAGATAGAAAAGGAGAGAGAGAGAGAGAGAGAGAGAGAGAGACTGATGAAACTAATCTTGTCATTCTTTTTCATCTTTCTCATCTTTATCATCATAATCATTCCTTTTCTTTTCAAACTATCATTGCCACTACTATCCATTCATCCTCCACCACCTTCAATACCAGAATCACAAGCGTCATCACCATGAGTCTTTTTGTCACTTATCTCATCGTTTTTGTTACTCAAATCTCTCAATGTTATATAATAATAACACCAGTAACCTGACTTTCATTTTTATCTTTTCATGCCTTCTAGCATCTTCATCTTTCATCATCCATCCTCATCTTGCTCTCTCCCTTATCAGTGGTTCCTTTCTTCATTTAGCCACCCCACTTTCATGAACAGTTACTTGACAGTTTTTACCTTCATTTTACCTTTTTTTTACACCTTTATTTTTACCTTGGTCCAATTTATCATCCTTACTTTTCATGTAAACTCTACCAGTGTGATGTCAGGTAAGTTCTGGTGGATTCTGATAACAGATATAATAAAATAAAGTTCTGGTTGATTCTCGTTGGTAAAGAAAACCTTTACTTATATTTATTAGGAACTTTTCAAGCTTGGTAATATTTTTTTCTTCCTTCTTCAATCGCCTCTCCCTCTTTATCTTCATCTCTCTCTCTCTCTCATTTTCTTCACCAAACAAAAACAAAATCATCTTCATCTTCCTTCAAATTCAATTAATTTTTTCCTTCATTTAACTTCACGAGTTATCTCCCATGAGATTTCAAGATAATACGTTCTTAATTAAGGTAACAACGTTGATGGTTTTTCAGCATCATCATCATCCAAACCAACAACAGAATACAACAAATATACTATAAGCATGAATACATGCCCATCAATGTGATAATTTTATTAGCCGGATAAATTTTCATCAATTGAAAATGAACCAGAAAACAGCTAATGAAGATAAAGTTCAAACTCTGAATACATGATTGGGTATTAAAAGTTCATATGTTCATATTAACAAGAGGGTCAAGGAAACATGATCATTATTGTTATATTGAACAATGATAAAGTGAACAGGGATAAAAGTGATTAATTTAATAAAAAAAAAAGAATCATTAATCCACTAGAATCATGAGCATCATCATCATTAACATAAACCCAAAAAAAATGAGAAGGAAAAAAACAATAGGCAAACTAATCACAATCAATAAATAGAGTACAATTTATCATAGGCAGAAAAAAAACAATTGATGGAGAAAAAAAGTTCTGAAACAATTGAACGATTCATATTCATGGTAATAGTAATTTTATTCAGAATTTGAATATCTTCCTGTTACATGATGAACTGAAAAATATAACTTTTTGTTATCTGAAACAAAGTAATATAACCTTCTGGTTAATGATTATCATCCTCATCTTCACTTGGCTTACGTTTATGTCAACTATTATTATCCCTTTTGGTAGGAAGTGGGAGTGAGAGAGAGAGAGAGAGGATGATAAATATCAAAAATTAAAAAGGATAAGGATCAAGGCGATGAAAATAACATGAAATTGACGATACCCTTGATAGTTGATATTCAAATCCCATTGATTGATGTTCTTGTCAAAGGAAACTAAGTCTTTTGATTTGTGAAAGAAAACAAAAAATTTTATATTATGAAAATTCAGGAATGATAATCAGTATCCTAGGTAATGGTTTTCAGTTTTCCATGTAAGGTTATCATGTAAAAGAAACAAAATCTCAAGTATTAGGTTAAAATATAATGAAGAGAAACGTTTTTTACATGTAAATTAAATGAAAACAATGTATCACATTGTTAGCGAGAGAGAGAAAAACTCATTCAGTTAATCACTATTAGTATCATGGAGAACCTTGAAATGCAGGATAATGAACAATCAAGAATTACATTGAGAAAAAAAACTGGTTGACAAAATTGAGAAAAATTATAATATTCATATGATAATAAAGTTTTCAATTATATTGATAAACATGAAATATTAATGGTGAGTTTAACTATTCAGATTATCTGATCAATAGGATGAAATCTAACCAAATGATAACTATTAACACTCATTTATTGGTTAATGAACTTGACAATAATTTATTTATTGTCATTATTCATGGAGGGAAAGATTCAGAATCCTCATGAGTCAATCTGAATGCTGAGAATGGGAAATTCACAAAGGCTCATTAAATTGTTTCCATATAAATATAATATTGAATGAATTTAATGCTTCTTCGAGTGATTTTTTTTATACTCTATTGATATTATGTTCGTGCGTCTCTCTCCTCCTTTCAGACTATTTTTCGCCTGAGGCAAGATGATAATGACGATACAAAATGCTAGACCATCTAAACTGAATGTTGCTTTCACCACTAAACAGGAATAATAATAATGATAAATATCTAGAAAGTTGAAATACTTATA